TAAGCTTTTTCTCTATTTGTTCATTAGTTTTAGTGCCTATTGACAATTTTTACCTAAAACATTTATTTGTGGTGTTTACCCAAGTAGTGATTTTTTTCCATCATGCTTTCTGTATTATATTATCTTGAATCCTGTTGTAGGGATAAGATTGTAAGTACTTGTTACTTGTTTTCTTTTTTCTTTTGCTTAAGTCACTACACAAGACATCAGTTGTACTGTATTTAGTTCCGGGTGGAAGAGTATCTTTCAAGGCCAGTCTACAGTGTGGAGTTCTAGGGCAGTCAAGACTACACAGGAAAACCGTGTGTGTGTGTGTGTGTGTGTGTGTGTGTGTGTGTGTGTGTGTGTGTGTGTGTGTGAACACCAATAAGTGTTACCGTTTTCTCTCTGTTGCTGAAGCACTCTGACCAAAAACAAAATCAACTAAGGGAGATTAAGGTCTTTATTAAGGACGAGTTACAGTCCATCATAGAGAGAACTCAAGCAGGGACTTAAATCAGAAACCATGGAGGACAAGCACTTGCTGTCTTGCTCACATGCTCATGCATAGTTTCTTTTTCTACCTTCCCTGGAGATCATCTAATGATCACATTAGGCTAGGCCTTCCTATGTCAATTAACAATCGAAAATCCCACACAGACATGTCCGAAGGCCAATCTGATCTAAGCAGATCCTCAGTTAAGAGTCCCTTCTCAGATAACTCTAGACTGTGTCAAGTTGACAAAGCTAACCAGGACACTAACAACTGTATGACTGGTTTATTTATTTGTTAGACTGAGTATATTAGACAATACTTTTTATTATTTTATAGTGCACCCTTATCTACGTCTTTCATGAGTTTACTGCAGAAGAGTATGCTGTGTCCTATCAGCACCAGCCCTATATGTTTGGTACTTACTGTGCCCTTTAATTGCATCATTCTCTTTATTGCTTAGTTTCATCTTAGGGAGCTTTGTTCTTACTGGGGTTTCTGTTTTAACTGGCTGTCATGTATCCCAGGCTATCCTTGCACTCATTGTATAGCCAAGGATGACTCTGGAATTAGGATTTTCTGCTTCTCCTGAGTGCTGGAATTGTAGAGGAATACCACCATACCCAGTGTATCCAGTGCTGTAAGTGGAACCCAGGGCTTTATGCATGATAAGCAAGCACTCTACCCACTGAGCTATATATTCTCAGCCCCTAATCTTAAATTGTGTACTCATCAGAACACTAGGAATACTAGTCTGTATTATCTCTGTAAAATATGGCCTAAGTATGGTGGACTAAGTCATATCTGTATAAGTAGATTATGTGATGTTTGCATAATGACAAATCTTTGTTATTTCTTAGGACATATTCCTTTGTTGGTAGGTAGATGGTGGAGATTCCATGTCTTTGAAGGTTAGGCTGTCTTGTAATAGATTCTTGTTAGCCTGTGCGTGATGGACTTTCAGACTTTTATTTAAGACCAAATAAGGATGCTCTTATAACAAGGGAAATGGGACCATGTTTATATGTGAATGTGTCACTATCCTGATTGTGTCTATCATCATTAAACCGAGTACTAATTCGGTATTTTTAAAGTGAAAGAAGTTTAAAAATCCTTCAGTAAAGTAAAAGCAATTTATCTCCTACTAGCCTTTGAATTCCTTAAGGACAGAGGTTAAGTCTTTGGTTTTTATATTCCTGCCGTGTAAGACACTGACGCTAAACTTTGTATCTTTTTTTTTAAGTGGGACACAAGGGGGTGCTGTTTACCTTATCACTTCTAGGTCTTGACTTTAAAAATCATTCTCCTTGAGGAATTATAATGGGATGGTACTTTCATAATTATTTGTGATCCAGAACATCTAAGCTACTTTAAGTTAATAAAACTAATTTGTATACTTTTGCAGATAGATTTAAGCTAAGAAATACAACGTTTGTGCTCTGGGTTTTCTAATGATATTAAGTAATTTTTGCTGAATGAAAAAGAAAATTGGTGAATTGTTTTTTGAAGAGGGTTTGAATTTTTCAGGCACCGTTAATGTTTGAATGACTTTTACATGTAAATCTTAATTTTATAAACTAAGACTATATAGTTAAAATGACTTTTGTTGTTGTTGTTCATCTATTTTCTTAGATTTTCAGGGCTAATACTTTTACCATACATGAGAGTCACAGTCTGTGCCCTAAATCAAGTCTGGCCACCTGTCCTCAGAAAGCCAATTAAAGATGCAAAGTAGAGAAGAATGTATTCAATGTAGCTGCACTGGGAAGAAGAACAATAATATGCAAGCCCCTCAAATCAGAGTCCTGAAATAGACCAGGGTTTAAACAGAGGGCAAAGGATATGCACATCTAAGCAGTTCTAGTCAAGATGTGGTTCTGCCCTCTGTTAGCCCATTCTTGGCTGGACTTCAGTCTCATCCTGTAAGGTGGTTTCATATGCTGTTAGAACTGGGTGAAATCTCTTGTTGGGAGACAGGTTCCCACTCTGGCTGGTGCCTTTTCCTTCTCTGAAAATGAGATTACAAGGGACAGTCCCATTTCTTTGGGCTCCATTGTTTCAATAGTCTGATAGATTGAAGAAATACAAATTGTCTCTAGAATATTTTATTTCTGCCAGGCCAGTTAGCATAAAGTTAAGCTAACAAGAAAATTCTGAAGTCTTGGCAACTGGAGCATATAGTTCTTTTGTCTTGTTCCTATATTAGTATTTAATAGTAGAGTTAGACTTTTCTATTACTCTTCTAATTTTAGCATCATCCTGTGTTTGTACAGTTATGCCAGGTACACAATATTCACTATTATTTGTTAGCTGGGGTTTGGAAATTGTGCTCTGACTATTCCAGTCAAGTGGCTTAACTAAGACTTGGCAGTAATCCAGAAAGTGAGTAGTCTCACTATCACTTTATAGTTCTGAGACTAGAAAGAGGTTAAATGATGCAAAAGGCCATAAATCTGGGTAGCAGCCGAGTAAAAAATTGAGGCCAAATCTTAACGATTTCAAAGCTTAGTCTTCACTATATCACACTGCCTGTGCAGGCAGCTGTTTTTATGTCATTGTAGTTAAGTTTTCCAGGGGCACACATAGTGATGTCAGCTACTTTGTCTTTTTTACGAAACATAGTCTGGACAGTAAGTGGGTTCTTCCAATCTTTTGTAAGAACATGCAAGTGAAGGGAAGCTATTTGCATAGCACTCTCACCAGACTGGCTGCTCTTTTTGGTACTAAAAACAATATGGCTACCGCAGGTGAGTTAAAGCCATAGAACTAGCTAAGGCAGGCATAAACATCCCAGACCACTGAAAACATTGTTCTGATTCATAGGTCTACTAGTGATTTAGGATCAGGGGAGACACACAAAAACCAGATCCAGATTGAATTGTTTAAAAACACGGAAAATAAAATTTTAAAAACTTTTGTTTTCTTCTGGGAGAATAGTTTTCCTGATCATGTTGTAGGTGATGATTTCTTAAATTGAGACTGTCAGCAACAGCAAACTGTAAAAGAAAAAAGCAGAAAAATTGAACTTTAAAACTTTAGGAGGGTGAATGGCAAGTCGTCACACAAGTACACTTTCTCATGAGTGTAGAACCTTGTATTTAAATTGGATTCTAAAGAATGACTGCATAGAAAGGGAAGTAGAAAAGGAGAGGGCAGACTTACTGGCAGAAACAACATACAGGCTGCTCTGTAAGATGCATCACACTGTGGATCTGTAGGAATTGCCCTGAGTTTGCAGTGGTTACAGCAAGGGGACTGCCATTGAGAGCTCTTTGCCCCAGAGAATCACCCATAAATAGGGCTACAATATGCTTTGATTTTCCTTAGGGTTTCTCATATGTGTTTGCAGTTCCAGGGTGCTATTTTTAGTATTACAGTAATATTGCATACTAGTTTAGTGGTAGTATTCATAGCTGTTGTCTTTTATTCTCTACATTGCTTTAGTATGCAGAAAAAATGGCATAGTCGCTGTTGTGTGAAGGCTACGTCTGAGAAGGGTATAAATGATAGATCAGTATTTGTGAAACGCAAGATGAAATTTAAGATGGCTTACTCATTTTAACAGGACTGGGAGCTGTCCTATGTACATGGTTAGGGTTTATATAGTGAAATGATATGCAGCAAAATAAGCAAAGACACATAGTGAGAAATTTTATATGGAAGAACAAATTGTAAGCTGTCAGGTCTCTTCCCATGGAAGTCACAGGATATTCAACTCCCTAGGAATAGTCGATGGCATATTTTATTAGGGATCAGTATCTAGTGCCTGTGTGATTGACCTTGGTTATGTAAGTTAAAGACCCCCTCCCACCCAGAAAGAAAGCAGCTGTTGGCCATAAAGCGTATTATATTACTAACATAGACTGATAATCTGTTCAGATGGAGCAGGTCAATAAGGTAAGGCCTAATTACCATCTGTGTTCAAAAACACTTATTATCAGACAGAATATTCTAGAAAGTCAGAGCTTAGTTCTTAGGAGCTGAGCAAAGGCAGGTCCTGAAACAGGTCGTTGGGTATGTGTATGCAGGGTTTGAGCCTGTGACTATTGAGGTAACTCCTCAAAAAGTGATACAAATTATAGAGACTCAGTTCAATCTGATAATGAGATCTTGTTCTTTCTCTAAGTAATGTCTAAGGTTAGGTACAGTAATTTTGTGATTAAAAATGACTGGCCACATTAGCTGTGAAAGAAGCTTGGACTCTGTCCATTATAACTCTCTGATGAGCTTTTATGCAAACACTTTCCTGAAGAAACCTTATTTGAATATTTGTTTTTTTTAATTATAAGTAATGGTGTTGATCTATTTACTTTTAGTAATTTTCAGAAGTTTGTTTTACACACTAAAATGCAGTTTTAGTATGTCTGACAGCAACATTTACTTTTTATTATGTTTTTGATTTTTCAAGAGGAGGTTTGATAATAGAAAAGTTTTTATGAATTTAGGATTGTCTGCCTTATAGATAAGAAATTTGAATGAATGTACATACTTTTCAAAAATATGATTTTCTTTTCTTTTTTTTCCATAGGTATTTGTGGAAACATTAGATAAGTGTTTTGAAAATGTCTGTGAACTGGATTTAATATTCCATGTAGACAAGGTATTAATTTCTATATTGTCAAATATTTTAAGCTTTTTATATAGGAAAAACATTAGTTTGTACTTGTAAGAGTAAAATGCCATTTAATGTGCAATGATTTTTCTTCTGTTTTGTTCGTTTGTTTGTATGTTTTGGTTTTTGGAGACAGGGTTTCTCTGTATAGTTTTTGAGCCTGTCCTGGAGCTCGCTCTTATAGACCAGGCTGTTCTCAAACTCACAGAGGTCTGCCTGCCCAAGTGCTGGGATTAAAGGTGTGTGCCACCACCGCGCGGCTGATTTTAGTCTGTTAAATTATTTTTACTATGAACCGGGCACTGTGCTTGGAAGGAAATCGTGAGACTATGTACTAGAGGAGTTTATACCTAGAAGAGGAAATGGCATAGGCGGGCATTGGTGGAAACATGGCTGCTTCTGCACTAGGGTTTGTGATTGGAGGAGATTGCATTTAAACTGGGCTATAAGAATGAATAGATGTTTTATAAACAGAAAAGGCAGTTAGAAGAGGAGAGAACCATGATGGCAAAAATAAAATATAGGCTGTTATGTAAAAAGGGATTGGCATTAATCACAAGGACTCATTTTTGAAGAGCTGTTACTGCCTTGGATTTTGTACTTTATTCAGAAGCAGTTTAATGTTTTAAACAAGTTTCTCTTGGCAGTGTTGTGGTGTCGTGTGTGTGTGTGTGTGTGTGTCTGTGTCTGTGTCTGTGTCTGTGTGTGTTTGGAGGAAGACTTTTTTTTTCCTGCAGCGTGGAAGTTAGTTTTGTGTGTATTGAGATTTAAAACAAGTAAATTAAGAGCTTGTTGGAATGGCCAGAAGGAAATTTCCACCAAGGGAGACTAAAGAAAAACTTAGTTAGAGTTGATGGCTATTAAAAGCTGAAGATGAGAAGGAAACTGCTAAGGTTGCTGCATGTTTGGAGATAATGGCATATAAAGGAAGAGTTCCCAACAAATGCAGGTGGTTTTCTATATTAATTGAGAGGCCTGATTGGTTTGTTTTTTCCTGGTTTGTATGTTTGGGGTGGGCGTTGGTTACGTTTTTCAGCTTTTCAATTTGTTACTTTATGTGTATGGATGTTTTGTCTGTGCCTGTGTGATGTCTCATTGAATCTCCTGGAGCTGGAGTTATTGACAGTTGTGAGCTAAGATGTGGGAGCTGGGAGTTGAACCTGGGTCCTCTGAAAGAGCAGCCGGTGTTGTTAATCTCTGAGCCATCTCTCTACACCCTGTTGATGTTTTTGAGAAAGGGGTGCTTGATTTTAAGTGTTGCAGCTCTGAGGAGAAAGGTATCCTGGCATTTGTGAGTCAAGTGATGCCACAAAGTCACACTGCATGACAAACCTTACACAAAAGATTTATTGGGAAAGACAGTAAGGGAGGAGGGCTGCCTCTGCTGTAGTGAGAAGCAGCAAGGAACTCAGCAGGGGGTGGGCTTTCTCTAGGGTTTTCTTGGTAGTAGAGCTTTCCAGGGTGGCCTGATTTTGGGCTACTTTTTTCTGTAGGGCAGGGCCTGGCCATTCTCCCTCCAGGAGTGGTTGAGTTAGTTATGCCCCGTTACAGGAGTCTGGGATAAGGAGCTTACAGTGACTCACATTCTGAATAGAATAGAGTAAAACATTCATTTAAAGCATATGAGTTGTTTGTTTCTGTGAGTTCTCTACCTAATATTTTTTGGACCAAAATTGACTGCAGGTAAATGAAACCTCCAAAAAGTAAAAATGCAGATGAGAGAGAATTCTGTAGTTAATATTTATCACTTACTTTGTTTAGTTACTTCTATAGATTGTGCAATTCAGTCCTTTCAGTAATCTTATGGAGCTCTTATATCTCTCTTTTCAACAAATTAAACTTAATAGCTACATAGGTTAACTGAAGTTTCATAGTACTGATGAAAATGGAATATGATTACAAATTATTACAGCAGATTTCAAAACAAAAATGACTGAATTAGTGAAACTTTTCCTAGTGTGTTGTCTGTATTTATATTGTTTATTTCTTTTAGGTTCACAATATTCTTGCAGAAATGGTGATGGGGGGAATGGTGTTAGAGACCAACATGAATGAGATTGTCACACAGATTGATGCACAAAATAAACTGGAGAAATCCGAGGTAAGACTGGACGATGTTTTAGTTAGTGAGCATGACCTTGAGCTATTTATGCAAGACTTTGTAGCCTTCGCTGTTTGTCCTTCAGGATCAACCTTTAGGCACTGCTGGAGTGCCCATTTAGTTTCAATAAATGAGTATGCACATTTTATATCAAAATGTCCCAAGACTGCCAGCCTCCAAGTAGCTTTATGTATTCTTTTAATCACAGTGGTACCTTGCCTTCAAATACAGTTTTAAACTATTTCTGGAGGGAGAAAAGGAAAGAAAGTAGAATTCTTCTGAGAAAGTTGTGTTTTGTAATAAGTATGTAGCTAATCTGCACATTGAGAAAAAGAGATTCAGTACCTTACACTTTTCTAGATCCTTCCCAAAGCTAAATTATAAGTTAGTTACATATTTTATTCATTAACAAATAAATTTTACTTTATTCTTTAATGGAAACATGCAATTTGTGACTAACTCTGTGCTGTTAGAATAGGTTGAGTAAGGACATTTATACTTAAATGTTGTGTGAAACCCTACATAGAATTAGTCACTCTTCTCAAGAACTGTGCTTCAGATCAGCCACAAGTACTGTGCCTGGACCACTCAAGTCCATATTTTCTTGATGGCTACTACTTACTACTTTAGAAAGATGAGCAGTCTTGATAACTTAGTCAGCATTTTACTTACTTAAAGACACTTTTCGGTTTATTTTTTGAAACAGAGTCTCACTATGGTTCCCTGGCTGGCTTGGTCATTACAGAGATTCACCCATCTCTGTCTGTTGGAATTGGGATCTCAAGGCATGTTTACCATGTCCAGCCTCTAAGGATACTCTTAACATTTTATCATTCAGATTGGAAAAAAACAAAAAGAATTATTAGTGGAAGTTCAGACACTTGGTCAGTTTCAAGTTAATATTGCCATAAAAGGAGTGGGGTTACTATTATTAAGTTTACAACAGGTGAGTCCTGAAAATATCTTACTGATATTTGAAATTTAGTTTGATACAATACTCACATTAATTGAAGGAAATACAAGATATGAATGAGAAACGGATGAAGCTCTTTATGAAGATAGTGTCCTGTCTTTTACAGTAAAGGTAGTCCTCCATTTCTCCTTATCTCAATTTGCCATCCCTGATGGTTTCCCAAAGGAGAGGCTTGTGGTGGTGATGCAGAGCGTAAGTCAGAACTCGTAAAGTAACTGGATCGTGTTCTACCACCTGTCTTTACATTTCTGAGTTCTGAAAGCAGAAAACATGCAGTAAATATTGAGACAGTTTTGTTTTAGGTGAAGGAAAAACACTGTTATTCAGTATATTTATTTGTAACGTTATTTAGTATAGTAAAAGAAAAACTATTAACTTGACTGGGTTATTTAAAGTTTTAAAATGTTGACTTCAAATGTATACAAATTGTTCACAATTGCTTCACAAAACTACATAAGTAGTTTTTAACTAGGGTTTAAATGCCAAGGCCGTAGTAACATAATGCATCAGTAGTTGGTCTAAAATGGAGGATTAATTTCTAAACTCTGCAATAATCTGTAAACATACACTGGTCACATGACTGTTTTTTCCCTCCCACATTTTAGGGACCCATGTCCTGTTAGTGGTGGTCCCTCCTTTTCTTTTTATGTTTTCTGCTTGCTTCTGTTCTACATAGTGTTTTTGTATAGTATTTGCAAATATCATGACTAAGAAGTACATTTTGGGTATTTGTTTTTTTATTTTCCAGTAGACTATATTAGTAAGACAGTTTTTCTTAGCTATGGAAAGTGTCAAGATGCAGAATTTACAATTTTGATGGGAATGCTATGGCTTTATAAAATTACTATGCAGGGTTAGATTCTTTCACAAGTATAATCTGTTTAAACAGTTTAGGTTATTGGTGACTGTTTCTAATGGTCATCCACTAGCTATTCTTTAATTTGTATAATTAGCTCTTCTGCCAAATTAATTTTTTTCTGTGTGTATACTTTTTAAGAAAGTATATTTTAATCAGATAAAGATTAAACCACCATATTACATTATCATGTGTTTCATTACACTTGGCATCCTATTTCTTGAAATTGTGTTAAAATTATATTGACTTGATGCAAGTTGTCATTAATTCTATTTTTTTTCAATGTTTGGAAGACCACACACTAAAATTCAAGTCTTCATATGCTTTAATTTTTTTTTTTAATTTAACTTCAGGTATTTAGGCCTAACCAGCCAGGTGGCTCTACAGATAAATCCAAAATTATTTAGACAGGAAAGTATTAATTTCTTAGTAAATTTCAGTTAAATTATTATAAAGCAGAAATAACAAGGAAGACTTAACTAAAATTCAGATTGGTAAAAGGAACTGATCATATTTTAAAATTCATGTGAATATTTTAGGATTATAATCTAGCTTTTGAAAAGGATATTGAATATAATTAAGATATGGCCTTTAAAGTATGAATTTATTTAGGTTACCTGTCAAAAATCAAACACAGGGACTTTAAGGTAGTGCATTTGCAGTGATGGAAGAAAGTGACCTGTTTAATTCCCACCACCTAGACAAGTAGGGCAGGCCTGCCTGACCCTGAAGGAGGGAGAGACAGAGGCATGACAGTGCATTTTATCTACTGTGCTTTAAGAGGAAACGATGGTTCATTGTCTCTTTGAGATTTGGGGAGAGAAGGATTTAAGCTGGGATGTTGGTGGGGTGGGCCTTGGGGATGCTTGAGAGGGACCAGCAATCTGCCAGGGAATAAAAGGAATTCTGGGGGTGGTAGAGGGAGGTGGGGAGGCTTGTTGGAATTATGTATTCATGTTAATCTTAAGGTGGATAAATGGGTCTGAATTTAGTTACTACTTTTTAAGTCAGTCCTCCTTTGTTTCCTGAACATCCTGATCTTTCTAGCTCTTTCCATTCTTCTCTCTTACAGACCTTTATCTTTCAGTCTCCCAGACAGGACAGGTAGACAAGGTATTGCTGACTTTGAGAAAACGTACTTAACAAAGGGAAAGCAAAATGATGTCGAAGGCAATTATTTTTTAGGCCAGACTCAAAAATTCTTTGTGTTAATGAACCCATATAGTCCCTGTAGCCTATTTTCCATTCTAGTTTATCTTTGTAGTTTCTCCATCTTTTATTGGACGTAGTATATTTTACTAGTATATCATTGGCGTTATGTTTGTTCTGTTTTGTCTGCCTGCATTGTAAAAGGAAAATTTAATTTTTTAAATAAAAACATGGTCATTTAATTGAAAATTGCATTTATAGAAATGACAATTTACTTTATATATAAAGTTAATTTTTAACATCCCCTTAGCAGAACTAATCTCAGTTTATCTCTGGCAGTATGTTATAAATATGCCTGTATTATTTTAAAACTATCTCTACATTAAGATTCTAATATAAAATTACCTGCTGGGTTTTGGAAGCTATGGATTTGAATTTTCCATCTGAAGTGGGAAGCAATGAAGTGTTAATGACTGTTACATAGTACCCTTTCCTCCTCAAATGGTTTTCAGTTCCAAAATCTTAACAGAATTCCTTTTACAGTTTTGACCTACGGGTTCATATTAATGGTGGCTAACAAAGATGAACAAAGTGTATTTATACACACACACACACACACACACACACACACACACCAAAATTCCAGACATTGAAATGCATTGTGTTATAAAGCTTATTGGAAACTTTTTTTTTAATGCCTAGGTTTACAGAACTTATTTTCTTGTTTATTCCATACACAAACACACATCTACAACCTCCCCCACACACCCACACACCCTAAAACACACACCTCTGATGCTCTTGTTTCACACCATAAATTAACAGTGAATTCGTTTTAAAAGCTTTATGATGATGATAATGGTTGTTTTGAACAAAATCATGTCAGAAAAAAAACTGAGATGATTGTAACTTCCAATTGAAAATTTCCAAATCAAAATAATTTACTGAGTCCTATGGTAGATAAAATACTCTCCAAGCTAAGAGTCATTACCTGCCCTGAATAACTAGACATGCCTTCCTGAGAGTCAGGCACTGCCTTTTAGCCATAACATTATTACTCTGGATGGGGTTGAGAAGTAGTGATATACAGTAATAGATTTATAATAATTACAATTTATGTATTATTCTAAAATTATGGGCTATTATCATGAAGCTCAACTTTTGGTCCTTGTATCTAAGTATTTTTTTCTGGTATGGAAAATATATGACCTCATTTACTTCATTGATTGAGATCACCAGCAATTTCTATGTTCCAATAATTACTTGTATTAAACTATTTTCTGGTAAAAGTGCCATTAACCACTTAGGTCTTTTAACTTCTGTCCCTAAAACTAGTGATTGATTTTAAAGAAAATCAGATACCTGTTTCAAAAGAGTAGAGAATAGAAAAAGTGACCCTAAGATACAGATGTGGGAAGGTCATCACATGAATTGATATTTTCTCCTAACTCGATAGGGACATTTATTTTGTATTTTTACAAAATTACTATTAGGACCCCTGAGGTCATATGCTATGGTCAAAACTACCTATAATCAGCCCATGAATGTTATTGGTCTGCTGTGTTTATTTCACCCAGGCAAATTCTGTGTCAGGTATTAAAACTGTGGGGCCAGCCATGGTGGCACATATCTTTATACTCAGCACTTGGGAGGCGGGTGGAGTTCAGTGCAGGCCTGCTTTTCATAGAGAATCACCACCCAGCCAGAGCTTCTTAATGAGATCCTGTGTCACTAAGAGAATAAGAAAGAAACATAAAGAGAGAGAAATTAAAGCTGAAACCGAAGATAATATGTAAGTTGATTTTTTTTTTAGGGTTTAAAAATTTTTGAAATTGAAATTGTGCTAAAATTGCTTATAAAAGACTATAGGTCTGGCTCACTAGGTTGTCATCCACATTTCTAATGTGTTTGTAATTGTGATGTTAAGCACTGCCTTCAAAGCAAGAAACAAGCCTATTTTGTCTTGCTTGTTTTTTGTTTTGTTTTATTAATTCATTTTTTGAGACACAGTTTGGCTATGTAGCTCAGGCTGGCTTCTAATAGAGTCCTGGGATTACAGGTGTGTGACACTGTGCCTGCAAGGACAAGCCTATATAAATTCCCAAATTAAAAGTTGATCTGCCTCCATTAAGAAATGAAAAGATTTGGGATTTTCTGTTTCACTGAAAAATGTTAACTTAAAACATGTCATTATTTTGTTAATGATTTTGAGTCTGAAACCATTTAATACCATGTTTGTTAATTCTGGTCTTAATGGATTTGGCTGTTAGGTCAAAATTATAAATGTTTATATAGCAGTTTCCAGAAGGAAGGGTAAAGAAAGACTTTAGTTTGTATAGATTATTCCAACTACCATCTTATAATGCTATATTTCAAGCTTGAAGAAAATATTTTAAGATGGTAGTATGGTAATTTATACATTATGATATAATAAGTACATAAAATATTAATTTCTGTTTCCCAAGAAAATTGATAACTGCATGAGGAAGAGGAAGTTTTCAGGTTCTTTCAAACATATTTTAGCAGTGCTGCTTTTTCAGTTTTGCTTGCACATATTTTGTTTATTTTTGGGTCTGGCAATTTAAAAACAAAACCAAAAACAAATCATATCCATCCATTACTATCTTTGTGATTCAGGTGCTTGAAATTTCCAAGAGTATGTCTGTACAAGTCTTCTATCTGTTTGGCCTCATTTTGGTATACCTGCAGACTTCATTTTGTTTTCTTTCTCTTAATTCGGTTAATTTATTTAATCTCATGGGAGAGAAAACATGACCATTCTTTTCTCTATGGTACTTCATTCTGTCATCCAGTTCATACTCTTAGCTGCTTTGGATTCATATATTTGTTTTTGTTAGTGGAGTGGCCGCTGCCTAGCGGCCATGTAGTGTGCTAGTGTAACAGATGGAAACAAGTTATTTCTCCAGTAGAACTTCATTCTTCTTAGTTTTGCTTTGTGTCCACTATGTAATCTTAAGTCTTTACGAGCTATACTGCACTGTCAAGAATAACTTATGTCTACATTTTAAAATTATAAAAATACATACATATATGTAGAGAGAGACATCTCTAAAATGTGAGGTGAACTTAATATCTGTAAATGTTGCTGTTGGAAAAGTTGTTAGTAAAAGTTATCCATATGCTTTGAGTACATCTTCCAAAAGAAAAAAATTCTTAACCAAGATGAAAGTTACTTTCACTTTTGTTAGAAAACTGATTTTATAATGGGAAATTACCTTTCCCACTTTTTATGCTTTAGTAAAAATGTTTCATACTTGACAGTAATGGACATCTAAAAATGAAATTTATTTTCTTTTTGATGTTATATGAGTAACACAGTCTTTTTAAGTCATAGTTTATATTCAGATATCTCTGGCTCATGTCAGCTTTGTGTAGTGATCAATAGGTCCTATTTTTTCTTCTTACAATCTGCAGAATCTGCTCTTTAAATATTGGCTTAATTAAAATTAAAATACATATGTCATTGTTTACTACCACTTACTTTCCTCCTATACATACTACACAGAAGCACTGAACATGCTTGAGAAATAATTTGATTTTCTAATTCATCTGCGTATTCTAAATAATCCCATCCTCTGCATGTCTACGGCTTGCTGCGTATGTTTAGAAGAGATGTAGATGGTTGTTCTTAGAAACTGCTGGTCCTGCACAGTAAAGATGTGGCACGTAAATGCCATTGAAATCAGTTTCT